ATCTCCCGTGAACCTGTTCCTTCCCATTCTTGCGCCAATCGCACACTTTAGACGTCACTTAGCCTCGCACTCTGTTAGCCGCAAACGTTTACACTTATATTACACGCATTTTACTCTATAATATTTTCTTATAATAGTTTTTCACAATTTACCTTTATCACACATTGTTTAATGCACCTTTGTTTAATTGTATGTACTCCGACCGCGACAACTCCACCCACTTATTAGGGGATCTATTGAAAATTTTGTCGTTTTATTTTTTCCCCTCACTACCTTTATCTGTCTTTTTGGAAATTTTGTCGCTTTATTTCTTTTCCGTGACACTATCTTTATCTATCTTTTCTTTTTAGTTATCTTTTCTCAGTTATAATAGTACATTTTCATGTGTGTGTTTTTACAGTATGATTGCTTGAAATTTTGAAAAAAAAACTCTAGAAACACATTTATGTGATGCAAGATATTTCGCCACCAGTAGTTCCACATACCGCATGCAACCTCGGCGCGCTTCTAAGGAATTATATAATTTTTTGGGGAAATAAAAATGGTAGATGGCGCTTCCATAGAGGTGTTGATCTCTCTGTGCTGCAATCTTCACCACACAAGGAGAAGATGTACGGGAAGCCTACCGAGCTTTCTAGATGATAATGTAGGCTTTATAGAGGGAAGATCCTCATACTGCAAGTGGAGCTTTATTTCGAAGCGAAATCCGCAACACGCGATTTCTCGCCAAATTCAAGCTACACTGAACACGTTCTGCTCATTGAAAAGAGAGCTTTTTAGTTTCCAATGTCATGTAGAGCTCCGTTCTACGTTATGTCTGAATGAAGCTATATTCATTGAAAGGTAAAAAAATCTCCCCGTTATTTTCTGGTCAGAGGCCGTCAAGCAAACTTGATGAAAGCTGTAGTGTATTTTGTATAGACCCTCCCCAAACAACATGAATCGTTCATACTATTAGTGCTCTGCGAAAGAAGGTTTCTGAGTGATTTGTTACCAATTTCATTTCGAATCGGACACTTTTCAAAATGAACCGGACACACCCCTTACACTGGACAGCTGATAACTAGACCACCCAGGTACTGCTGCAAGCCCCGTTCCACTGTCCTCGCCCCTTCTCACCGCTTCCATGGCTTTCCAGAACTCATTGTATGCACTCTGTTTCTATAACTTTTTTTGCACATTTGCTGTTTCACGCACACAATTCATGTGAAAAGTACTGGTAGCGACATGGTTACGACTCCGCCCACTTCTTATCGAAATTATCACAAGTTGTGAATTTTTATACTTTTTTCCACTTCGTTCTTTTCACAATCATCCTTCACAAGACCAATCTACTCATAGGCATGCATCTGTACAACGGCACACTACGCTTTTCAGTTGAGCTCAGCTTGAGAGCGGATAAAAATAGATGCACACTTCCGTAGCTGCAGCTGTCTCGAAAGTACAGTCTGATTCGCCACGGGTGATGGGGCGTGTCCATGCGGCTGCAGCGCGCCAAACGCTGCCGCGCTGACACGCTCCATCATTCGCAGCGACCCAGGCTGAAAACCACGTGTTAATCAATAGTGTTTTGTTTATTTGTTTATTTATTTTATGCGTGTTTTGAAAGTCTGAAAAAGGTCACAAAGCGTAATATCCCCATTAGATATTATTTAATTGTTCGTACCTTTATGTCTTCTGTTGGATAGTTGATAGTAGTAACAACAATCCATTTGTTCGTAAAACTCCCTCTGAACATTTATGGGTCAATTATGTTTTAAGAATGAAATGTCTTCAATGTGTACAGCAAATATTAGGTTAGTAAAGGTAAGCAGAGGTGTAGCAGCAGGGAAAGGAAGTACCCCGGCGTTCTTCGCCCCTGGGCCTTACTCCGCCCAGTTCAGCCCGTAGTTAGAGGTAGGCGATTATCACGCTAGCGTGGCAGAATGAAATTAATAACTACGGCTTCGATCAAATCCATACTTTCATAGACCAAATGTCCAGCCAAAAGATATATTTGAATGCATCCTCAATTCGAAATGGAAGTGGAATATCTCGTAAAAAACAGTTCAACTCCAGTCATTTCAATCAAGACTGTCCGATTCAACTCACGCTGTCACTGGTGTGCTTCGTCCCAGATATGATTCAGACCATGATATGATCAGGTTCAATATTGTTACGAGTATTATCAACCCCACAACAATCAAGCTCTTCGTTCCATAATGGCACATTTTCTCTTCGGATCGTAATAGTTTTCTGGAAAATGGATTTTTTCCGAAGAACTGTCAATAAGTGTAATGGAAGACAGATTCTCAGGTTTGACGTCCTTTTACAGTCCTGTTCGCTACGGAAACGGGGGCATTTCAGAGCATTGGGTTTAGCGCGGCGAGCCTTCTCTTTACCAGTTGTGCGCAGCGAATGAAACTGTAGTACACCTCGGATTACACCATTTCACGATTTTCGGATGCCGTTTAGCAAAAGTCAGATCATTGAGAAATAGTTTCTTGACTGCTATATGCTACGACAGGTACGACGTAAGCTGAGAAAATATAAACCCTCATGGGACGGTAAATGGGTATCAG